TAGTACCAACAGTAATAGGTGCCTTGGGTGCAATCCCAAAACATCTGGAGCACCACTTGAAAACCATTGGCATTGACAAATCACCATCAGTCAATTGCGAAAGGCAGCTTTATTTGGAACAGCTTGCATCCTGTGACAATACCTTTAACACCATCAAAGAACAACATCTGCCTATCCCAGGTCCTTGGGAAGGACTCAATAGGGAGATAAAAATGTCAATCCAGTCTAAACATCTGGCTGACTGTGCAACCAACAGCAATAATAATATATTTTATTGTAATTTCTTTGTTTGGTTGTTGTGAGTCGCCCAGAGCTGTTGAGAGTTGGGTGGCATACAAGTTTAATAAGTTAATTAAATTATATCCTGCCTTTTCTCCAAGAGCTCAAGGCAACGTACATAGGATCATTTTATCCCCACACAGATTGGGCTGAGAGAAAATGACTGTCCCAAAGTCACTTAGAGCTTCCTTTGCTGAGGATCAAGCCTGGATCTCCCTGATCCTAGTCCAGCATCTTATGACTACGCCATATGCTCCCCTACGGTTTACCATACATTATGCAACCTATTGAGTTTGCAGAGCACACTGAACCACACAGTCCTGAAATATCTAGATGGCAGACGGGGAGAGATGTACTTTCAAACTTGCAAGATTCCGTTAACATAGCTTTACAGTAAAGTAGAATTAGCTCATCTGGTTTTGCTTCCTGTGTGGTGTACCTCATAAGGCTGACACTACCAACCCAATAACCCTTTGATGATTTTGAGTGCCCTTATTCAATACCGCCTTCTATTCACACAGATATAACTGCTGTCAAGGGGAATTTTTTAGGGTGGAAGTCAAAAATAATTCCTCATATCCCTGTCTTCTGGCAGATGATTGTAAAGGTCACCCAGGCCAGATAATAAAATAACTGCCAACACGTGAGAGGAATCTTATGGAAACCTGTTTTGTAGCTTCTCCCTAAATCATCTGCTCCTGTCTGCCATGTTGGGTCATTCTAGCTTCTCCTGACATTTCTAAATTGATTGGACAACTTAAACATGGGAAAGCTCCTGGCTGTGATCTCACTTCACTGTAACTATTAAAAACAAATACGGATTCTTGGTCCCAGTTTTGGCTTCTATGTTTATGCCCATTAACAATAACTTGCAGATCCTCAAATACTGAAATCAATCTATAACAGTTTCTGTATATTGTATATAAAAGAAGCAATTGGTCTGACCCGGCACTGATCACCCAGTTAGTCTTTTGGATGTGATAACTAAATCATATGCAAGTTAATTGGTCTGAAAACTGGACCTGCTTGAACAAGAAAAAAATTCTGACCAATGAGAAATCAGGATTTAGAGAGGGAAGATGAACACTCAATGGGATACTTTACACTTTGTAGTAGAGAAGTATAGCAAACCCTCTGATAAGTACTTTATGATGCTTTAGTTAATCTCCAGTAAGCATTCAGCTCTGAACCTAGGGATAGACTCAGAGCAAAACTGGTCCAGTCCTCCAGAGACTGGAGATTCTAATTGAGAAGCTGTATGAAAAGATCTCCATGCAAATTAGATTTGGCAGTCACAACCCTCTCTCTATTGAAATCCCACCTCAGAAAGGAGGGTGAAACAGAATTGTATTTTTCC